TCTGCCTACGTACAGAGTTGGTGCTGCTCCTCTGCTTTGCCTCATGATCTCAACACTGTGATCTTTGGTACCATGCTGCTTCCACCACTTCAGATAGGGATCTTACATGAACTCTACTGGTTGCTCTTCTTTCTCGATTGTCCTGGGATTCTCCCTTTTCTTGCTTCTAAGATGTCTGACTTGACCATTCCCCTCTATCAGGATTTCACATACCCTATTTGCATAGTCCTACTCAAACATTGGTGGGACTTGTAGAGAAATGGCTACAAATGGATAGAAGAGCCATAAGTAATTTCACTTTCCAATACATACACATACACATGTATGCATTACGTGCATATATATAAGTAACTGCTATCCAGTTACAATGCATATATATATATATATATGCATATATATGTGTGTGCATATATAAGTAACTGCTATCCAGATCCTTGGCAGCATAATACCAGAAGCTTCCCCCTGGAGTCCTCCTAGTCTGAATTAAACCTCTTGCCCCCACCATGAGAGATTACTGTTTCCTTACTATAAATTTGTTTACCTGCTTCTGAACTTAAAATAGATTGACACAGTATGTTGCATTTGTATCTCATTCCTTCCTTCAAAACCCCTAAGATCAACTACACCAATAACAGCAACAAACCAACCAGCAAACAAACTGATAAAAAGAAAAAAACAAGCTAAAAGCAGGAAGACAAAAACCCATAGAAACAAAATAGCACCACATTTTCAATCATCCCCCCTATAGGTATAAAACGATTGCACTGGTAACATCATCAGTTCTCCCAATGACACAGCACTCGGGACCCAGGAATTGTTGCCCTACACAGTTCATCTCCCATTTGGTTGTCGTTTCTCTAGTTTTTAGATATGAAATTTGTAATTTAGAAATTGTCTGTTAGGAATATTTGAGGATCCACTTGAAAACTGTATTGCACTATGAGTACTACAAGAAATTTAATGAAAACATATAGCTTAAAATAACACTAGTTGCTCTTTGTGATCGGTTCCCCCTTTCTCCCCACCACCTTTTCTTTCCCCTCTTGGTATCACTACTCTCATTACTAGTCCTGAGGGATTTATTTGTCCTGGATTCCCTGTGTTGCGAGTTCTTATCTGTAACAGTGTACATGCTCTGGTCTAGCCGGATTTGTAAGGTAGAATTGGGATCATGATAATGGGGGTAGGGAGAGGAAGCATTAAAGAACTAGAGGAAAGTTATATCTTCCATTGGTGCTATACTGCATCCTGACTGTCTAATCTCATCCTTGTGACCCTTCTATAAGGGTATGTCCATTTGTCTACAGATGGACTTTGGGTCTCCTTTCTCCCCCTCTCCCTCATTCACATCGACATGCTTTTTTGTTCTGGGTCTTTGATGCCTGATACCTGATCCGATCGACACCTCATGATCACACAGGCTGGTGTGTTTCATCCATGTGGGCTTTGTTGCTTCTCATCTAGAAGGCTGCTTATTTATCTTCAAGCCTTTAAGACCCCAGGTGCTCTATCTTTTGATAGCCGGGCACCATCAGCTTCACCACATTTGCTTATGTACTCATTTTGTCTTTAGTGATCGTGTTGGGAAGATGAGCATCACAGAATGCTGGGTTATCGTTCTTATGTTGAGGGAGTACTTGAATAGAGGGCAATGTCTGTCTGCTACTTTAATACTTAACATGTAAATATATGTACATAGATCTATTTTCCTTTCATTATATAGAAATATATTTACATATGTATATGCCTGTATGTAGACCTCTTGATCTACATATAACCCCCTCCCAGGGGGATGGACTACAGAAAAGTGGGTGAAGGGAGACAGTGGTTGGTGTAAGACATGAAAAAAATTTTAAAAATGAATTATCAAGGGTTCATGAAGGATGGAGGGTGGGGAGGTGGGAAATGAGCTGATACCAAGGGCTCAAGTAGCAAGAAAATATTTTGAAAATGATGATGGCAACATATCTACAAATGTGCTTGATACAGTGGATGTATATATGGATTGTGATAAGAGCTGTAATAGCCCCTAGTAAAATGATTGAAAAAAAAAAAAGCAACACTAGTTGCAATGACTTTTAATCAGTCATTCAAGTGAGAAGGGAAAAGTACTGGCATTTATATGATTTTCAATATGTTACCACATTTGGCTTTACATTAATTCTGTCTTCATTTTATATGTGGCGAAATGGAAGTTCAGGTCATACAATTATCAGGTGACAGAGGCAAGATTTGAATTGTAGCCTGGGTCTTTAGTGCATGTCAAAAGGGTGGGAGATGGTTCATGTTTGAAAATACTGCATCAGAGGAAGTACTTTTAAAGAAGCCAGGAGAGGCAAGTATAAAGTATAGAAGCTTTTGGGTATCGTGTGATTTTTAAAAAAATTACATGTAATTTTTACAGAAAACAAATAAATAAGATGAAATTTTAGTTCTGATTATAAAACAAGACCTGCTGCTGATGAAAAATGTAAAACATACAAATAAAACTCCAATAAACCAGAAAGAAGAAAAGGAAAGCCATGTATAACCCTAAGAGACCCATTCATCCAAAGATAACTTTTTCCCTACTCTCCCTTCATGTGGACATGCTTAATTTTTAAAACAAAAACAACAAATGTATTGTAGCACATGTGCAGTTGGTGTATGCTTTTCTCCTTATATATTTACCATGGGCATTTTCCCATTTCACAAAAGGGCCTTCTACAGCATATTGAATGTTGATCAATATTTGGTCATTTTGAGGAGTTAACAGAATATTATATGCCTATCCTTTCATGGCAGTGAGTTTCTTAATTTTAGTTTTATGTTATAGTGAAATACTGTAATTTAATTTACCATTTCCCTATTGCCAGGCATGTAGGTGATTTCTAATTTTTCATTATTGTAATCAGTGCCATTGTAACCACTCTGAGATATAAATATTAGGGGAGATCCATGATTATATTCTTAGTATAAATATATTTTTAAGTACAGAATTATGCTTTCTTATTGATTTGGGTATTGATTAGTTCCTGAATGTAAAGATCATCTTAATTCTTTTAAAAATGATTTTGCAGAGAAGCATGAAAATAGCATATTTAACTTTTTAATTAGTGGATAAAATATAATATTGCTATAATTAATAGTATGTTATTATAAGAGGTGGCAGCTATTGGACTCTTTAAAAAATAAGCTTAAAATGTTCTGTTACACCGTCCATCCTCACTCTTTGCCACTCTAATCACTTCTGAGATGTGATTTGAGTTATATCCACTGTGAAGTGGATAAAACCAGGTCAATCCCAGGCCTCAGTAGGCAGTAGTACTCTGTCACCTTCTCTTCCTTCTCTGCAGTGAAATAACAGTGCTGAACAATTCTTTTTTAAAAAATGTTATTGGCCTATGCTTCACATATCATATTATTTAATCATTCAATCATATTAAGATTTGTGCAATTATCACCACATTCAATTTCAGAACATTTTATTCTTGTACTTTTATGTATTGTTGTTAGTACCCAATTTTCCCCCCAGTCCCCAGCCCCCCTGCCATGGCCCCACACAATTAACCATCCAGTACTGTCTCTATAGATGGCCCTATCATGGATTTCATATACAGCAAATAATACAAAATACAAACTGGAAACACAAAATCCCAGCAACAATGACTAAACAAAACATAGAAAACCTTAACCAAAAAGAATGCAGAAAATACTAGAAACTGGAACTTTAGAATGAGTCCAAAGGGTCCCGCCCAGCCTCATGATCCCAGTTCTTTATTTGTTTGTTTGTTTGTTTTGACCCCAGTTCTACTTAAAAAATTCGGCTAGACTAGAGCATGTACACTGGTTTGGATAGGAGCTCTCGACACACAGAATCCAGGACAGATAAACTCCTCAGGAACAGTAATGGGAGTAGCAGTACCATGAGGGTAGGGAGAAGGTACGGGGAGAAACAGGGAACTGATGACAATGATCGACATATCAACATATTTACCCCCCCGCCCCTCCTTTGGGGACAAACAACAGAAATGCGGGTGAAGTGAGACACTAGACAGTGTAATATTAAATAATAATTTACAATTTATCAGGGGCCCATGAGGGTGGGAGAATGGGGGGAGAGTGGACAAAAGAGGAGCTGATACCAAGGGCTCAGGCAGAAAGAGAATGCTTTGAAAATGATGGCAACATATGTACAAATGTGGTTGATATAATTGATGTATGGATTGTTGTAAGAGCTGTAAGAGCCCCCAATAAAATGATGTATTAATATAAAAAATGAGTCAAAAGGGAGAGCAAATGGTAAGGTATTACATCTTAACATAACTACATCTGCCGTAATCCACTTAACAATGCTCATTGTCTGATAACAAAGCTATTCACATCCCTGGACTATCTTCAGAAGGGATTCACCAGACTAATCCATGTTGACATCCTTCCATATTTCAGTCACATCAAGCAATATTGTACAATTGTTTCAAAACATTTTCTTTCTTTCTTGAACTCCTTGATATCAGCTCTCCTATATCCCCTCCCTCTCTTACCCTCTCTCCAGGAACCCTTAATTTTATTTTGCCGCATCTTGCACCATCCGATATATCCATTTACATACAATTCTTTTGTTCTAGCCCAGGGGTCCTCAAACTTTGTAACCAGGAGGCCAGTTCACTGTCCCTCAGACCCGTTGGAAGGCTGGACTATAGTTCTAAAAAAGTATATGAACAAATTTCTATGCACACGCCACATACCTTATTTTGAAGTAAAAAGCAAATGGGGCGAAAACACCCAGCGGGCCAGATAAATGTCCTCGGCGGGGCCGCATGTGGCCCACGGGCCACAGGTTGAGGACGTCTGTTCTAGCCTTTCAAGTGGGGCTATACAGTCATCAGTGTTATCAGCTGCTCCCACCACCCCCACATCTGCCATAAAACACACAATTGATTCATTTTAACAATTATGCTTAATTAAGGTACTGTGGAAAATGTTTGAAATCCTGATTTGTTATTTTATTGTCTTTGCAGATCCACATCATAGATTTTGATGATGAAAATAACATTATAAATAAAAATGTTCTCCTTCATCAATTGGGTGAAATTTGGCACATTAGTGCCAGTCCAGCAGATAAAGGTGTGCTAGCTACCTGTTATAGTAAAAGTAAGTGTGTTTTTTCTTAGATATTTGAATGTACTTGAAATGCGTTTTTTGTTTTTTTTCCTACCACATGTTGAACATAAGGGTGGTTTTATATTGCTAATGATTTCTCTACTTACTGTCATCAAGTCTATTACAACTCATTGTGACCCCATAGGTCAGAAGAGAAGCGCCCTGGTGAGTTTCTGAGACGAGAACTCTTTACAGGAGCTCATGGCCTCGTCTTTCTCCCTTGAAGTACATGGTGCTTATGAACTGCTAGTCTTGCGACTCATAACCCAAAGTGCAACCCCAGAGATGATAAGACTTGATGATTAGAAAATACAGTATGTAAACAGAAGTTGTGATATTGTGGGTAAATGTGTACAGAAGTTATAACTCTAATATTTTAAGAGTTAAAACTGGAATCATGTTGCCCCCAGAGCCTTAACCTCTTGGGTTTGATGGAAGAATGTGAAGGAAGTTCATAACTGGTAGAGATTGGTGTCCTAATGCATGAAATAATCTACTGCAAAAGACCTCTCTAAAATATTCAAAGCTAAAGGTCTCACCTTGAAGACTAGGTGCTCCTGACCGAAACGATGGTATTATACATCCCATCATCTGCATGTGAAAGTTAGACAAAAACCAAAGAAGAATTGATACTTATAGATCATATTGAATATACCATGGATTGCTAGAAGAACTAACAAATCTGTCTTGGAGGAAGTGAAAACTATAATGCTCCTTCAAAATGAGTATGGTGAAATGTCATTTCATGTACTTTGAAATTGTTAGCAGAAAGGGCCAATCCCTTAAAAAAGACATTGTGCTTTGTAAAGTCAAGAGTCATTGAGAAAGAAGATCTCCAATGAGACGGACTGACACACTGTCTCAAGCATTGGGCTTAATCATAGGAATTATTAGAGGATAGTACAGGACCAGGCAGTGTTTTGTTCTGTTGTACATCGGGTCACTGTGAGTTGTAACCAACTTGGTGGCACCTAACACTGATGAGGATAACTACTAACTAAATGCATTAATAGTGTGCTAAAAGAATTGCTGTGAATCTTGTCCCTTTTTCATTGCCCATGTGTAATCACATTGTGGGTGTCAGCTATGATTCTAGCTCAGAGTAACCCTATAGGAAAGAGTTGACCTGTCTCCTTAGGTATCCTAGCCTATAGTCTTTAAGGGAGCACTTTGCCTGGTCTTTTCTTTAATGGAGTGACTGGGCTAGGTTTTTTTTGTTTTTTAAAACAATTATTTTATTGGGGGCTCATACAGTTCTCATCACAATCCATACATACATCCATTGTGTCAAGCACATATACACATTTGTTGCCCTCATCATTCTCAAAACATTTGCCTCCCACTCTAGCCCCTAATATCAGTTGCTCATTTTCTCCCTTCCCCCCAACTTCCCCCTCCCTCATGAACCCTTCATAGTTCATAAATTATTATAGTTTTGTCATAAGTTACACTATCTGATGTTTCCCTCCTCCCTCTTCTCTGCTGTCCATCCCCCAGGGAGGAGGCTATACTTAGATTCTTGTAATTGGTTCCCTCTTTCTATCCCACATTCCCTTCACCCTCCAGGCATTGCCCCTCTCACTGGTCCTGAAGGAGTCATCTATACTGGATTCCCTGTGTTTCCAGTTGCTATCTGTACCAATGTACATCCTCCGGTCCAGGCAGATTTGTAAGGTAGAATTGGGATCATGATAGTGGGGGGGAGGAAGCATTTAAGAACTAGAGGAAAGTTATTTGTTTCATCATTGTTACCCTGCACCTTGATTGGCTCGCCTCCTCCCCACAACCCCTCAGTAAGGGGGTGTTCAGTTGCCCCCTGATGGACTTTGAGTCTCCACTCTGCACTTACCCACCTTCACAATGATATGATTTTTTGTTCTTGGATGCTTGATACCTGATCCCTTCTACAGAACTGCTGATGTTTCAGTTAATAATCAAATACTTCACCATTGAGCTAAGTTAGTGAAAATTCTTGGCTATTTTGAGATATTCTTTAATAACAACTCTTCCATGCATATATAGAAATTGTATGTTCAAAACAAAACTCCCCTTTTCCACCGAGTTGATTCTGACTCATAGTGCTCTTATTAGAGGAGAAAGTAGAATTTTCCTGTAGAGCAGTGGTTCTCAACCTTCCTAGTGCTGCGACCCTGTAATACAGTTCCCCATGTGGTGGTGACCCCCAACCATAACATTATTTTCATTGCTACTTCAGAACTGTCATTTTACTACTGTTATGAATCGGGTGATCCCTGTGAAAAGGTCGTTCTACCCCCAAAGGGGTCGTGACCCACAGGTTGAGAACCGCTGCGGTCTAGTTTCCAGGGCTGTAATCTTTACAGACGTAGACCATCACATCTATCTTTACAGGGCAGCTGATGGGTTCAGACCACTGACTCTTTCACTAGCAGCTGAGTGCTTATCCACTGTGCACCAGGGCTCCTCTGTGAATAAAAGTTGTGCGTTAATATTCCCTAAATAAAGACTTTTCCGGCTTACTTTTTGGCTGCCTAACCTCCGAGACCTTTTTCATGTGCGTTGAACCACATATCCTTGACACCAAACAACCATACATCTTTCTTAATTCTCTTTCTCATTGTCAATAACCTGGTTTTCAATTTCTGGCATTCCATTTTATAAGCCAAGATAAATCTTTGTTGTATGGTTTCTAAAAATGTTTCTTTCATTTATTCATCCATGCTAGAGTTTTTTATTTTAGATATTTAGTTGTTACTCTTTTTAAAGAATATTTATTTCATATTCTAGCTTCAAAAATGTTATATAAGGATTGCGTTTTTGTTTTGTTTTTTGTCAGTATGGTCACCAGCATGCTCCATTTCTATAATTCTATGGTTAGACTCACTGCTTTCATAGAATTCTGTGTAAGTTTCTTTCTACTTTAATGTTATATCTGCTTTTTGAAAAACAACTCTCTTCCTTAGGGCAAAAGAATATTTTATGACAGACTCCCAAAGGCCATCTTCTTTATTTCTTGCTTGTAGATTTTAATTTGTAATTGCATTTCATTTATTGAGAATAAGATCTCAGTGAATCCACTCTAATTCTTTCGATGTACACAGGAGTTTTAACTTCAGTATATCCCATTTGTCAATTTGTGCCTCCTCTGTGTTTGTGTCCTTCCCTATTTCTGATAG